GTCAAACCTAAGATTCATAGAGTCAATATTATCATTGGAAGAAAAAAGAAAACATAGAGCCAGTATTGTGTGGCACAACTCAACACAAAGTCATAAGATTAAGATTTGCACAGATGTTTTCTGTAATAATTTGAGATAGTTTATCTCAAGGGCGAGCTTGGATGAGATTTCTAGAACAAAGAATTATGTAAAAAATGTGAGTCTCTTGTTGACAAGGCAATAATGATCGTCTTTTACATCAGCACTTTACACAAGACCCACACCCCAATAACAATTAATTCTCAGGATAGGCCGTGCAGATGTTCATCCCCTGACAAGTCATACTAGAAAATTTTGTTTACAGCACTAAATCTCTGTTTTACTCGAAAAATTTGTTTAATTTGTATTGTATGAGAAAATTATTGGATTTTATTATTTAATTTCTCGACCTCGGATTGCATCAATTATATTGGATTTGAGAATTTTTCACTTGTTTTCACTAAAAATTGAATCAAAAGTTTATGTTAAAATTGATTAATATTCAATATAAACTCAAAAAAGTATAACCCAAAGATTCTATGACATTGCTCAAGTGGTAAAAATAAAAAGTAGAGAAATGTTATTTGAACATAATTTGCTAAATTTATTTTCTGACTTAATGCATTATATCTATTGAATTGATAGTGGGCATCAATAATTGTTATGGTCCACCATTAATCTTATAGATGTGATGCATTAAGTCAATAAAAAAGATCAACAAATTAAGTTCAAGTAATATTACTCCAAAGAATAAAATGGTCATACAAAAGCGTCAAAGTCTCATAGGTAGGCTTGTCACTAGATCGATTTTTGACCTGGATGCAATCGAATGCAATCTAAATTCGAATCCTAATTCAATTAATCAGATATATATTAATATTTTTTTATCAATAATCCGAATCCATTAAATTATTTTAACGAATTTGAATTTTAATATACATATATCCAACCTAATTATGATCTAATCTAGCATATTTATATATTTTGTATAAATGTTGAAGAAATTAAGTAATTAATTAAAATTTTGATACAATTTTATTAAAATCTAGTTAAATTAAGTTATATTGACCGGATTGCATTTTTGATATTTTTTTAGAATGCAGCTATGAACTGCAAAAATAAAATTTGTTGGACAATCGAATTGAATTCGGATCAATTTTTAAAATCGGATTCCCATCAATCCAAACCCGATCAGGCCTATTCATGGGGTCGCGAAGTGGATCGTCTAAGGAGCAGGTAGTGTGTGAAACGAGGGCTCGAAATGGTAAAATGTAGTGCGTGTGTCCCCCTCCAATACGACACTGTACCAAATTAAGGTCAAATGGTCGGCAACAACCACCCTTAAATCAATGTGTTTTGATTGATTAATGAGAATGTTGTGCTTGAGTGGCAGGTCTAGCTTGGTTGGGCTGATTTGGGATGTGTGTGGAGTTGACACGTGTGCTGCTGCATGTGATTAAAAGACTTAATCTAGACCTAACACACTAATATTATTCAATTTAGTAATGTTATTTAAATCTAAAAAATTGATATATTATGTTGGTGTAATTATGTAAATTTTTTTTTTTGTTTAACGGTCAAGGGTACCTGAGTCAACTTTTGCACATCTCGACTAATCCTTTTTTCAGTCTAATCAAAGTCAAGTCATTCACACAAAGACTTAAGGTATTTACAAAAAATAAATCTCTCATAACCTAACACTAAAAAATTGTCAAATTTCAAACTCAAAATGTTTGAATCAATTATTGTAAATTCAAATATGACCCATCAAACATACGTAGATTCATATACTAATACATGGTAGATGGGAATCTAGATCTTCGTGTCCTTAATCTAAGCACTTCTTTTTTAAGATGTTAAGTCAACACTAAACTAACTCTTACAATCACTTAGACTCTTATCTTGAGTTTGGTTAATCCAGTTACGTTTATGTTGGCTTGAGCAAATTTGAGATGTTTATTGATAAATCTAAGATTGCTAGCTTATTGTTAATCATAGACAAGCCACCCTAACAACAATTTGGACTATGTTACAAAGTCAAATGAAGTCTCATGCTTTAATCTGTAAGTTCTTATGTCATTAGGAACACACAATTTGAACTTCAAAGCTAAGAGGACTGTCACTTTTTAATGTTGGAAGTGAAGCGAGCATTATTAGAGCTATCTATTCCATCAGGAGATAGATTCATCACAAATTCTTAACCCTTAAACTTACTCTAGTAGAAACACTTTTGGCTCAAGTTAGATGTAGGGGCCGTCAATTGTGTGTACGTCTTTGACATGATCAAGTCAATTAGAAACATAATTTGATATGCAAAGCTTAGGTATACGGATCTAAATTGACCTATAGCCATTCAAACAATGTCCCCATGGTATCAACTTTTAGGAGATGATGCTTTATTGAGTAAGTGGGATGATGAAAATAACCTTTGAGGTTGATGTGATCTTTCGATAATTGAATTGGAGTATGTTTGATCATGTAATATCATTTTCGCATAAAGATGTGTTGAAATGTTGAACCCTACACACCCACCACCCTATTAGAAGTGATGGCTTTTTAGCATAGGTGTAGGGTATAATTGTAGGGGCATCAATAGTTCAAAAGGCCCAAAAAAAAGGAACGACTTGACTTAGGGTATCGAATAAAAAATTTTTGTATCATATCTTTAAATTTTATTATTTTTATAAGTATATTTTATAATTTTTGTAAATATTTTTATAATAAAAAAAATTAACAATTTTTTAGGTATTTTATTTTTTTTGGATATTTTTTTATTTCTATTGTGATAATTATTTTTACTATTTTTTTCACTATAAAAAAATTATTACTTTTTTTGAATGATTTATTACTTTTGTTTATATTTTTATCACTTTTGTGGTAATTATTTTTTATAACATTTTTTCAGTAACATAATAATTGTAAAAATACTCACAAAATATTAAAAATACTCACAAAAGTGATAAACATTAATACGATGCCGAAATTTGTAAACAACTCCAAAAAAGAATAAGTAAAGATATATTGAAAATGGTACCTTATTCCTACTAATATCTTCAACTTTTTATTTTGTTCTCTCAAAAGTTTAAAACTTCACATTAATTTTTTTAAAGAAAATGCTATATATACTTACTAAAAGTTTTTATCAAATCTTTCATCCTAAATAATGTAGCACAATATCTATCATTGAATATTAATGGAACTCAATTATCTGATGATAAAAAACTCTGCATCGTCAATTGTTCTGAAAATTTGGTAAGCATAACATTACCTTTTTCAAGTGATAGCAATCTACTCCAATTAGTCAACTGGATCAAATTTTCAGCCAAGTGACGTCCTAGATGTTTCACATGTGATCGGAGATAGCTAATGTTTCAATGAGCAATTATTCAACAGATTTATATGGCAAAGTAATATTAAGATATGCTTATAAAACTAAATGTCGGCAGTGCCGACTCGAGATGATTGGAGGCCTAAAGCGATAGATCTGAATGAAAATTATTATATTTTTTAAATAATTTTTTCACTTTTTAAAGTATAAAATTATTAATTAAGTATTTGAGTTAAACTAATGGTACTATATTATTTTTAGTTAATAGTATGATTGATTTACTTAATCTTTCTTATAACAATTAATTTGAGGTAATATTTTATCAATTTTAATATTTAAAAACTTTTTTTTGCACAGGTAATTGTTAAAGGTATGTAAGTAAGTAAGTAAAACATTAACATAAAAAAGAATCTAACTTTAATATCTAATGTAGTAACTCAATTTAAAAAATTTAATATTTGAGTGCTTGAAATAAAGAAAAATGTAATTGATTTGGTGATTGTTCCTAGCTTTAATGATTTACACGACAAAAAATATATTGAGGGCTAAAAATATAACATAATAATTTGACCTAATGATGTAATATGTATTATCCCAGTAAAAAAGTCAAACAATGATAATTATAAAAAATATTATTAGGTTATATTAATTACCACATCATTTGATCAAATTATTAGTATGATGAATGTTGGCATTAGAAAATAGTTGGGATTAACGTGAGATTTTAAATCTTTAAAGGATAAAATACAAATTCTGATAAATTTTGAGAATAAATTACCCTTAAACCCAAAGATAACTAGCAGCTTTGGACTCTCAGCTTTCCACTTTTCTTTTTTTGGGAAAGTGTTACATAAATCAAATAAAATATAAAAATTTAAATTTAAATGTATATAATTTTTTGGATGAACATGAGATGAATTTGCCTATTAAAAAAGTTGATTATTAATTTTTTTTTTCTTTCATCTGGAGAAAGACACACAGATTGTGCTTTTGTGCCAGAAAGTACAAAATCCACTAGATGGAAAGAAAATGTGCTTGGAGAGGCCGCTCAATCTCTCTTTTATCTCTTTCCCTCTTTTCAAAGTGTGGATACAACTGTCTTTGGCTGACACACAACTGCAAAGAAAAAGGTAAATAGCAGTTTACACACCAAAAGACTACAAAATTCTTAAATTTATACTTTCAGAGATTAATTATTTTAAATTGTATTTTCAATGAAATTAATTGGTAATGATGTGAACATTTTCCATAATGTTCGTTGTGATTTCCGTCAAAGTGATGGCCGAGTGAGATGCACATGATGACTTTTGTTAGATTACGATACTTCCCATTTTCACGCGCGTCTCATATGCCTCGTTAATTAGACGAAAATCGCAACAGACGTGATGATTGGAGTCACATTTCTATCAATTAAATTTATTAAGGGTATAATTTGAAACAATTGCTTTTTGAGGATTCAAACTGATAATTTTTATAATCTTTCTAAATGCAAATTATCAATTGCCCAAAAGTAAATCATTTAATCCGTTTGTAGTTGCTTGACAGCGAAGGAAAGATTTGAAGTGTTACAATCTCCAGATCTCAAGTTTGAACCTCATCTACACAATTTATTGACAACAGCGAGAATCAAGTATTTATATATTAGCCATGCGTCAAAAAAAAAACATGATTATCATCTGCGATCACAAACACACTAAAAAAAAAAGTGCATCATTTGCTATTAACAAGAAGGTGAACGTTTCTTGGGGTTTTATGACCTACCCCTTTTCATCTTGTAATAAATCCCTAAAGTTATTACATCAAAGCGAAACGACAAACCCGAATACAATCACCAAAACTAATAACATCAAAATGAAGAATATATTACAAAAAGGAGGATTTTACGCTTCAATTCTCTAATACCCTTCAATTTATGAGTCCAAATTCTTCAAATGTACCTTTAAACCCATAAAGATTTTGAAGCTTAACTGTTCTCCTTCCTTGTTTTCCTCCCTTGTGTCCCCCTTCAACCAGTACAGCCTTCTCTGCTTTCTTCAAAAGTAAGAAGACTTAGAAAAAACCTGTTTACTTAAAGTTGGTGCATGACCCTTATTAATATCAGGGCTTCATTAAGTCAAATGTTTGTGCTCCAAATGTCCTGGGGTCTTTTCACAATTCTTCTTCATGCAACCACCTCCTGTGCCTAACCCCCCGCCCCCCCCCAACATGTAGTCAATGTTATATTTCAATGCAGCCATTGATGACTCCAAGCTCTGCTCACCACTTCATTACACAAGCAAAAATGTCTACGTTTTGTTCTTGGAGTCTCACAATCCGAGAACAATGTAGTAGACTAGAGTGATTGGTAAAGCTATCAGCATCCCAAAGATGACCCTGCAATTCAAACAAAATCAAAGTCATTTTGTTAATAAAGATAGAAATTTGTACAAGATTTGGGTAACATTTGGTAACTTTTTTTTTTTAAAGTACTTACTTGCATATTTCAAAGGGCGCTTGCCTTTGTATTTTAGCTTACTCCCTTTCTCAAATTTAATCCCATATATAATAATACTTATAAAAATTTATTATTTATACAGTAAATGAATCTAGATCATTTTTAAACTAGTAATTATTCATCATTTTTATTTATAAGGCAATTTTTTTGGCTTAAAAATTACTTAAAAACGTCACCACACAGTAAATAAACTCATAGTAATTTTTTTCTTCTGGATGAGTTTCTCTTACGCAGTGCTGAGAATGGCTGGATGAACATTGTATTCTTTAGCAAACACAAATGGAACAATCCCTTGTGGAAGTGCAGCCTGTTGGAGAAGAAGAATACGTCAGAGGGGGAAGTGTTTTCTGAAACATACATATACTAGCATGCTTGCAAGTGAGATGCATCTATCAATTAAATATAACAGAAGCTGCATGCTTCAATCATGGACATCATATTATGCCTCTCCTCGTTTCACATATTTTTTCTTAATAAAAATTTCTATCATTTACATCAAAAAATAAATAAATAAATAATCATGGACATGGACATGGACATGGACCTGGACATGAATGATTCTGCAAAATATACCCTTTAATAATATGTTAATTTTAAAAAAATTGATTGGGTCCCTCAAAATATGTATATTTTGAATGTGTAAGAGAGATGGACTAGATAACAAGGTAGTATTAGAAATCATGGCACACGTGATGCAAAACATATTCATTAGTAATATCATTAAAAAAAATAGTAAAAAATGCACTAGGTTTGTGTGATTACGAGGTTCATGGAAATGTTATATATATACAACTTCACGTCACATGTGGAGAGGTTTTGTAAGTTAGACCCGAGACACTTAAATCACAATAATACAACATCACTACTACACCAATACACAATCTTTGATTAGATAATTGAAAAAAAAAACTATTACGTAAGTTATATTTTTGTTTTATATGATTAAAATAGAGAGAATAGAAAAAAGAGACGGTTAAAATGAATGGTTAATTATGTGTAAAAAAAATCGAGTGAAAGGTGAAAATAGTGAGTTAATACATAGTTAAGAGAGAAACAAGAGACAAACAATTTCGTTTCATATATATATATAGTAATAGATTCTTAAATAAGGATTTAATTACCTGTACAATTGCGACATGGAGAAGAGTACCACGGAGGCCCACGGCGATGGAAGCTGCGGCCATGACCGCCGGGCCGGTGAGGAACCTTACGGCCATGGCGAAGGAAGCCCTTGCATTCCCACATGCGATTATGTTGGTTTGGAGAGCCATAAACAGACCTTTCAAACACAACCACCAAATTCAGAAAACCCCAAAAATTAATCAATACAATTCCAACTACCTTGTCCAATGTTCAACCATTACAGCATTATCAGCCACCGATGCCCACCGGTTTGGGACCGCTACAGACAATGCTGTTCGGACCCATGTGTCTGCTGGGTCATTACAAACGTAGCTAGTGAAGATAATTTAAAAAATGTGTGGTTGAAAATATTTGTAATGAATCAAGCTTATGTGACCATCAATCATACACAGTTCAATACATGTCTAGCAATATCCACATACCTACTCTACACAGTGAAACAATCTTTAATTAGATCGAAAGATTAGATAGATCAAAATAAAATGTCACATCCTGATAAAATTCCGACATTGTAATAGCTAACAAGATTATTTGAATGAAAAGGTTTAATAGTATAACAAGAAGGTCGAGGTCATAACTTGGGGCTCGGTTTATTAAAAAATGCAAAATTATTTTATTTTATATCCGCGAACTAAAAAAGACATGTTATCGGGACGATTATTAGCTAGTAAAAAGCTAATAATAAAAAAAAAGATGCGAAGATTGACAAACTCCTCCAAAGAAGTATGACTACTCACCTAAACTAAACATGGCCATTCCAAGTCCAGCATCAGATAGAATTGATATTGACTTCTCTATTATTTTGGGCATAACCACATGCCACCTGCCAATAAAACATAACCATAACCAAGAACTCTTAATCAACTAATTATTTATTAATCAACCAAATTAAAATGCTTAGTAAATTAAGATTTAATAATAATTTTTTTGTTCAACGGTCAAGATTGTCCGAACCAATTTACACGCACCTCGACAAATCTCCTATTAAATCCCATAAACATAAACTATCCAAAGGGAAAATTGATGGAAGATAAATATCTAAAATAGTATTTAAGTACTGAATTAGTTACCGGAATGCAATAAGAGACCAAATGAGGCCAATGAGGCTGGAATAAGTGTTGGGGTTTCGGATAAGCTTCCGCCAAACCATGATCAAGATCAGACGGGTCATAACGCTGGCCGGAGGCATCTGTTTTATGGCGACTGTATCATCATCTCCGGCAGCCCTGGGATGTAGCTCAGCAGTGGAGCTGGACCCCAGCTTAGACAGTCCAATGGGTCCTTCTTTTTCCCTCTCCTCATCTCCATCTTTGCCGCCGCCGCCGCCACCACCATAGCTGAAGTCCTCCCCACCAAAATCCCCAGTTTCCGGAACAGCTATCAAATATTTAATTATATAGTTTGACGTAACAATCAGCACCCAGATCAAGTTAATTATAATATTGAATCAAGAATTTTTTATAAACATTAAAAATTAATCAAAATTGTGAACTGTGACGTTGATTTTTACCTTTGTTTTCCCCATTTTGTGGGTGATCAGAAACCAACATCCTGATTTCCTTGGCACCACCATGATCAGACTGATCGGCAGCACTGAATACGTGAAGACCACCGCCATCTGATACGGGAGATGTACTCGAGCTCCACACAAACATGTGAAGCTCCTTAGCATCATGGTTCGCTTTACTCACCGCCATATTCTGCTGCTGTGGCGGTGGCGGTGGTGGAGGAGGCGGCTGTGGTGGCTCTTGTTGCTGAGTTTTGGAGGTCTTAGGGACAGTAGAAGCAATATCAGGATTGGGTGCTGGATAAGAAGTCGTCACCGGCGGTGCTGGGTAGAAACCAAATCTCGGAGAAGCCATTGCACAATTCTCTTCAAAGTTCGATGGCCGTGGCGTCGGACCTCTTGATGACTGAACGGAGTACATATCGGCCGGACCAAAGTTCGATAACCTTCCAGGAAAACCCATCATTGAATAAAAGTCCGTGTGGTTGAAATTAGACCCTCTCGGCGTCTGATTTCTCGATGAACTCAAGCTGTATATCTCAGCTCCGGTGAGGTTCGACGGCCGAGGAGTCAATGCCGGAAGTGAACATCCAAGTGACCTCCTCGAGGCATTAGATTTTCTCACTACTACATGAAGCTTTCCATCATCGCCGATCTCTGCGTCGGTTTCAAGAAAATCTTGACCATCAAGCGACACAACATCTGACTCAACTTTGAACGAAACTATGGAGGCCGCAGTTTCAGGAAATTGTTCCATTATCAATAACTTCGCACCACGGTACTCGAACAAGAAGAGCAAGAGAGTGTACCAAATGATGCACTGTAACACCACCACTTGTACCATTAACTTGCCGGAGTACTCGCCGTACATGGCGATTAACAGAGGAATACCCATGACCAGAGTGTTGGGTAGTGTTGATAATGAGAAGATAGTTATCATCCATTCAAGACTACCATTTTTGGTGAGGTTAGTCCAGAGGGCGAGGACGATGAGCATGATGATTTTCTGGAGGGTATCGGCGGCAATGAACCGGAAGTTCATTGCGTAAGGGTCGTTGGTGGAGATGAAGTGGAAGGACAAGAGTGGGACGGCAAAAATGGCGACGAATCGGTTGATGCCGGAGCATTGGTCGGGGGTGAAGATTTTCCACCACCGGACAGAGCCGTAGGCTAATATCATGGCGACGTAGAGTGGGATCACTGCTGTTAAGACCACATAGAGGTCGTGCCCGGTGATCATAGTGGGTGGTGAAGTGAATATGTTGCTTGGGGGAAAATTTGAGAGGAAGAGAAGGGCAAAATGGGAAGAAAAAAATAGTTATATAACTGACTAATTGGATATTTCTCGTCTGTTGCCACTCTGCTGCACCTCTGCTGATTGATTCGAAGGGCACTTCCTCTGTGTGTATTTGAGAGAGAGAGAGAGAGGGAGAAGGGGGGAGAGAAATTGGAATTGGTGTAACTAGAAACTTTGGAGAGAGAGAGAGAGAGAGTGAAATTACAAGTGTAACTATGGAGGAATATATAGGAGGGGGTGTGACGTATGAGAAATGGTATTGGGAATTAATTTATTATAATTAATTTGTTAATTTAAATTATTAATTTTTGGATTAATTATGGTTTGCATCAAATATTATAATTTAATGTCAATCTAATATATTTATAGAAATCACGTAATTATGTCAAATTTTTAAGTGTAAATAATATTACTTGTGAAGGATATGGTCTATTGAAATCAGTCTAGTATCGAAATTAATTATCGATATAAATTTTGATTTATATGATTTTTTAACCCTTAGTTGAAAATATAATAAAGCATTAAATTTTTCTACACTTAGCATATTTTTATTGAATAAAAAGTAAAGATACACAACCAAAATATGATTGTACTATGAAGTTGGGGACTGGTGGGAATGGAATTGGGTTAGGAGGTGACCACCAACTATGGTTAAATTAACTACATATGGGTTTATGTGTACTCTTGGCCCATGACATATGGCATGGGTTGTTTGGTGACTTGGACGCTTTTTTCCTTTTTTTTAATTTATGGTTCCTCGGTGAAGGTTGTCCAAGCCGTCAAGATACACCTCAATTAATCCATTTCTTAGTATGATCAAAGACAGATGATTATTCATGTTATAATTGAAATATACATAAGGGATAAATCACTCATGACGTAATCTTAAAAGATTGTCAATATTCGAATTCAAAACATATAAATTTATAATTTAACGTTATTATTATTTGAACTATCCTTTTCGTTTCTTTTTATTTCTGCCAATGTTTGAGCTGTGAAAGTGACAATCTAAGAGGTTGTTGTTATGTTGATTTTGTTTTTCTTCTTTGGTTACATTGGAAAGGTATTGTTATGTTGAATTTCAGTGCGCAGAAAGTCACGAAGAAAATGAATGTGGTCAGGTAGCAAATCTAAAGAGAATTAGTCAAATTTTAGACTCAGTCAGAAACAAAAAACACCAAATTTCTCGATAGTTAAACGATAAATTTTAATCCAACAAAGTCACAAATGAAAAGGAATCGCGTGACAGCAATTCAATCATGGCACTCTAGCAAATTTAAAGATCGAACTTTACGGAAACTTTGAGGTGGATAATGCGACAAAAGAACACATACATAAGGACCGAAACAAGAGATGAAAGATGAAAGCAACTGCATTTAAAGTCAAGATAAACACAAGCAAGGTCATCAAGAACATATACACGAGGAACGAACAAGAGACACAAAACCTAACAAAAGAAACTGTGTGTATTAGTTAGGACATGAGAGAGAGAGAGAGAGAGAGAGACCTAGCTTTTACACAACGATTTATGCGACTGATGGGAAAGTTGATAGGGTATATGCGTTGGAATATAGTCTCTCTGGTGCCCATCATCTTACTGTGCCATTGGCCCTATACAGAAAAAGCTGAATGGAAGGTCACCAAGACCTGCAACTAAATCAGACAGGGTATCCACACAACTAAGACTGTAGAATGAGTTTTTTTACTGAACTTACATTGTTTTGAAAGTATTTCTTAAACTTAGGTAGTTTTAAAAGGGTCAATTCAATTGGTGTTTTTAAGCAAATGAAAGGGTCAAACCATTGTCTCTTTTCTTCCTTCATTTTTTGTCTTCTCCCCAAAATCTTCCCCAAATCTCTGACCTCCATCGTTACTCCCTCCACCCAATTGCCATCATCATCCACCAACGGAGCATACCACCAAGAACCCCACTAAAGACCCCGCCCCACCAGGCAGGTCCACCACATCTACCTACGGTTGATCTCCACTGAAGCCACACCTCAACCACCATTGTCTCACTTCGGCAAACTCTCCCACCACCTCTGTCAATGATATCTCTCATTCTCTCTCTCTCTCTCTCTCTCTCTCTCTCTCTCTCTCTCTCTCTCTCTCTCTCTCTCTCTCTGTGCATCTGTTATGGGACTAGGAGGCCGAAGCAATTGCTAAAATAAGTTAAATGAATGAGAAAAAGATAGAAATTTGGAGGTATAAGTTTTTGAAGTCGGTGGTTCCTGGGTGGAATAGTCTTCTTGTGCTCCTACAACCCATTTTTTTTCCATTTTATTATATTTGTTTTGATCTAACTTTTCGAGCTTAAAACTGTCAGTCTAACTTTTTTTCCAACTTATGTTTTTAAAATTGCCTAGATTTGAGGAATACATTCAAAATAGTCAAGGTTTGGTAAAAAAATTTCTCAAAAGAACTCAGATTTGGTAAAAAACTCGATTTTGTGCCACCCAATTTGGCCCGATATTAGAGGACCAAATTCAATCTAAGTTTTATTGTTTATACTTTACATTCAAACGTTTGGTTCGCATAAATCTTGCTCTATACATTAGTTTGCTAAGTCCAAAAATGGTTATGGAGTCAAATTAAGCTCGTGGTTGTATAGTCCCATAATATCAAATCCAGCTTTAGTTGTAATGTCACAAATAATTTGGGTTTTGACCCAAACTTGAAAGTAATGTCCATATTGCAGTCCAAAGACCCTAGAAAGGTACTGATGGATGGAAACCTAGCTTGTTAAGTATGTTTTTTTCTATATACACCATAGATTAGTATTATATTTGCAATCAATTAAGTATAATGCATGTATAGCAGAAGAGAAAAACACAGAGGACTGAAGAAAAGCATCAATGAGAGGCACAATAAAACTCTCGAAGACGTGGCCATAAGAAATCAAAGGATTAATCTTGTGGTCTCTTTGTTAATAGAACCATGACAAAATCAAATACAATTAACTAAATCATACCCTGTGGAATATCAAATACTAGTATACTCTAGAGTCTTTCGTGTCTAGATTAATAATCCGTTTGGTACAATAAAAAAGTGGGAGGATGGAAAGTTGTAAAGATAAATAAAACATCATGTTTGGTAAGGAAGGAAAGTATGAAGGATGAAAAAGTTGATGGATTAACTTTTTTTCAACTCACCAAAATCAATCCCTCAATCAGAAGGAAAGTAGATGTAAAGTTAATTATTTATGTTGAAATGTATCTTATTTGTCGATATATCTTATGTATACATTAATTTCACATAAAATTACAATGGTAAAATATGTATATATATTTTTTTAAAAATAAAAAATAAAAATTTTAAGTTAAAATAATATTTTTTTTATCTTAACTAAGGGTGAAAATTTTCGACTCAACACGATGACACGATTCAAACTCGATACGAAAATAAATAAGTCAACTCGTAACTCGACACGACACAATTAGTTAAATGAGTTAAATTAAGTTTGATTAATATTCGACACAAACTCGTAATGACTCAACACGAATCTGACACGACACGCCTCGACTTTAAAAGTGTATTCCTTATACTTTTCATTCTTTAATGATAGAAAATATATCTCTCTTATTTTTTATCCTTCCTATTTTTCATCCTCCCAGTCAAACGGAGCATAAAAATCTGCCTACACACATTTCTTTTTCATGCTTACATGTGTATAGTTGCATTTGAATTGAGTTGTCATGGACTATTTATAGCTGTCTACATAACCACGTATCTAGACTAGTCAAAGTTCTATCTTAGGGGACCAAGGTTCAATGTGTATATATGCACTTTGAACCATTGCTCAATACTTTTTGGTTTGCACCATCATGTTTTTCATCACCTACATGGATATTGACTTCACACTATCGCAATTACCAACACAAGTTATAAGTTATATGAATAATTGTTTCGTCCGGTTACCCACTTATGTCGTTTTGTTTATTTTCCAGCAAGTTACGATTAGTATTAGGTTCATGTCAATTCAAATAGTTCAGGTGGCAGTATGAGGAACTCAATAGCAAAAGGGATGGTGTGAGATACAGATCATGGTTTAAGGATAAAAATTGTTGGGTCTGTTTGGTTTGCGTTTCAAAAAACAGTATTCGAAAATAGTTTTTGAAAAGAGTTTTAAGAAAGTGGTTTTGATATTTCTTGAGATAAAAAATTTGTTTGGTTAGCTGATTTCAAAAACAATTTTATAATACAGAAAATAATAAAATATGTTTGGACAACTTCAATATATATTTGAACAGTAATTCAAACATTAATAAAAAAAATATAAAAAAATTATTTTTATATTAACAATTTCATAATATATATATATACTTATATATACACTTATATATATATACTCGTATTTGAACATTCAAAATTGTTCTCCTTGTTTCTAAAATTTTCAAAGAAAACTTTGAAAGCAAGTTACACTTATTTTCTGTTTCTTTGACTCAAATCTCATTTTTTTTTTTTAAATTTAGATAACAAAAATGCTAAACAAACAGATTTTAGGTGTTTTTGAAATTTTGAAAATAAAAAATAATTTCTGAAAATTAAACCAAACATGACCGTAATCTTTGGTTGTTTTTCTTACACGTATAGACAAACAAATACACTTAATTACATCTCAAACACTAATGCATTTGCTTAATGCAACGAAGGAGAAAGGGTAGTAGATGCAATTCATTAATATTAAAAAATATAAATTGCACGAATCACTGCTAGGACATCCTATCGAGAAGCATGCAGTTACATCAAACTAGACCTCATTGCCCTAGAATTTTTCCTTTTGGGTCATGTAAAAGATAGGATAACCCAAAGGGTTGGCTTAGTTATAGTTTAGTCACTTTATAAATTTCTTATTAGAGATAGGTCAGGGGTTTGAATCTTTTACGAATCGTTGTTCTTTGAGGCTATCGCCTATAAATTTACCCTCTTGTGTGGAGAAACGACTTTGCACAAGTCTAACATTAGTGAGGTACGTGAGCAGATAGTATTGCGATGATGTACAAGACAACCGGAATACCGAAAAAAAAAAAGATGTGACAAAGAATTTTTTTGTGACAATTACAGCCAAATTCACAAAGTTTTAAAATGAAATTTGGTTGTATGACATATCTATTCTCAGATTGCTTCATATATAATTCGATATGTGATGTAAAACAAGTGACAGCCGATTACTTGAAATAAGGAGACCGCCACGCG